GGTGGGGCTGGCGGCGGGTGTTACGTAACCTGCGCGGGAGGTGACTAGGTCAGGCTGGAAAGTGCTGAGTCACGCGGGGGGCGGGCACGTGTCTGAGTTTCCCGTAAGGTAACCCGGGGCGGGGTCTTGGGACCCCCGCTCTATCTGGCGGGGATGGTAGGGGAGAGGAGGCAGCAGCTGGAGCCAGGGAAGAGCTGGGTGCTGGGGTTGACCCCACAGTCGCTTGCTTAGATATTAATATTGTTACTGATTAAAAAGTAATATGGTTTGTATTGCCAGCAATCTGATGCTGCTGCCACTAATGCTAATAGTAATGGTGCTGTTAGGAGTATTATTAATAGTATTGGGAAGAAGGAAGGTCTGTTGCCTGGATGAGAGCTGCTCAGGAGCACTGCTCCCCTGGGCATGTGTGACCCCCCTGGCCGTGAGCCAGATCCAGCCTGGGGAGCGGTGCCAACCATTCTGCAGGGCTCCCCACCCACTCCCAGGTGGCGCTGCCACCGCTCCTCTCGCTGCACCCACCCAACTCTGCTCCAGTGCTGCCACAATTCCAAGCCTGCTGGGCTGGGTGGGGTGGGTGGCAGGGCAGGGCACTGCTCCCTTCCACCCTTGCTTCAGTTTGGAGATCAGGGCGATGCCAGATGCCGGAAGGCAGGGTGTGGAACATTGTGGTCTCAGACCTGCAGCAGCAGGTGGTCTGAGCAGCCTTTCAGTGCTTGATGTGTCCAGTCATGGGTGTGGAGCCATCCTTCTCTGCCCCGGCCTGAAAGCAGTGAGCTGTGCATAGGGAGTGTGGGGGAATGCTGCAGTAAGATGCTGCTGCATGTGGGTTTGGATAGATAAGGCCATAACAGGTTTTTTAAGCACTCTTAACTAAGATCCCCACTGGGTTAAATCTAGGAGGGTGTGGAAGGAAAGCACAAGTGTGAGTTTGTCGTTAATCTGTTTAACTTGTGATGTATCTTGAAGAGTATACACATAGTGTACAAAGGCATGGCCTTTGATAAAGGTCTTGGTGTTGCTGTGAAAGATGATGGCTGACTAGCTAAGATGCAGCTTTGTAGAAAAGGACCTAGGAGTTGGAGTGGATAATAAGCTGAATGAGGCAAAACTGACCTTGTTGCAAAGAAGGCTAATGGTATACTGGGCTGTATTAGTAGGAGCATTGCCAGCAGGTTGAGGGAAGTGATTATTCTCCCTTTATTAGACCAACTCAAATAGAATAAAGATATTAGACTTGCCCAAAGAACCCTGTTCCCCTCTGTTTGGCACTGGTGAGGCTACATCTGGAGTACTGTGTCCAGTTCTGGAGCCCCCACTAAAGAAAGGATGTGGATAAATTGGAGACGGTCCAGTGGAGGGCAATGAAAATGGTGAGGGGGCTGGGGATGTGACCTATGCGGAGAGGCTGAGTGAACCGGGTTGTGGGGATTTAAGAGCAGCTTTCAGCTACCTGAAGGGTGGCTCTAAAGAGGATGGAGCTGGCCTGTTCTCAGTAGTAGCAGATGACCAAACAAGGAGCAATGGTCTCAAGTTGCAGCAAGGGAAGCTTTTCCTTGTATCTAACAAACTTTCTCACCAGGAGGATAGTGAAGCACTAGAACAAGTTACCCAGAGAGGTTGTGGACTGTACATTTCTTGGAAGCTTTTAAGCCCTAGGTGGACAAAGCTTTGGCTGGGATGATCTAGTTAGGGATGGTCCTGTTTTGAGCAGGGGGTTGGACTATGCGACCTCCATAAGTCCCTTCCAACCCTAATTTGCTATGGTTCTGTGACAGTGCAGTAGTTCTATAGAAGAAAAGTGTGGGGGTGGGGAAACCCTCCGTTATGGAAGTAAATGGGTCAAAAGGCAGCTGTGTGCACACTTGCAGTCTGAATCTTGATGCTAGAGTCATGCGTTCAGACCAGTGATGCTCAACCAGGATGTTGTGGCACCCTAGGATGACTTGATCCTTTCAGAAGTTAGCACTGCTGGGTATGGAGATGTGCTTTGCATGATAACCCAGAGATTTCAAATGGGAATTCATAATATTAAACATTTGGACTTGTTCTGGTGCAAAGAACTCAGGAAGACAACAAGAATTGCTCTATTTTTTTTTTTCTTGGTCACAAAACCCAAAAAATCAAGAAAGTTTTCCAAGGAGTCTAAAAAGGGTTGAGAACTGGTTGAGATGGAATGAGTCTGCCTTGGGGGTGTGATAGCACACACCCAAATACTGTATTAGCTGCAGTCCTATACAAACCACAGGACTGAAGAATGCATTCTCAACTAATCGGGAAGCCTCAATCAAAGCTTTAATCCTGTGTATGCTTATTTATGATTCTGTAATGAGTTAATCAGTAACAAACTAGAATTTTTATTTTCTTCTTTGTTTTGAAGGATTGTGGACCGGTAAAGGTGTCAGGAAGCATTGAAGGTTTGAGTGATGGAAAACATGGCTTCCATGTTCATGAATTTGGAGACAACACTAATGGTACAGTATTCATCCAGGGTCTCAATGTAGCACTATCACAATGCAGTTTGGCTACTAGCTTATGGTATTTGATGCATCCACTTTTGTCTATTAACCAGTGTTAAAAAAACTGTGGTAATGCTTCTCACTTCAATTGCATTCCTTTCATGCGTAAAACCAGTGTATGCAAAAACAAAGGAGTTGAAATGGTCTCGGCATTGTCTTGCTATTCACTAACAGTGGTCTAGTACTTGAAGTAATGGTATAGATGGCAACATCTCTGAGCTACTGTTATTCTAGCACGCAGTTGTAAACCTGATGCATACGCCATAAGAGGCTGTTTAATACTATGGCTGTAGCAGCTGCCCTCCAGTTAAGCTAAACACAAATGGGAATCTATTTCTTGGATAAACTCTCTAAATGGCTCTTTTCAAAACTTAAGTTAAGATTTGACTCTTGGTGGAGCTTGGCTTTTTAATGGTGATCTAGGGCAGTGTGAAGAAGCTTGTGCAGCACAGCATAGTTTCATAGTAGGTAGGGTTGGAAGGGACCTGAGCGGATCATCAATCTGACCCCCCTGCCATGGCAGGAAAAAGTACTGGGGTCAAATGACCCCAGCAAGGTGTTCATCCAGTCTCCTCTTAAAAACCCCTAGAGTAGGAGCCAGCACCATTTCTCTTGGTAGTTGGTTCCAGATCCTAGCCGCCCTGACAGTGAAGTAGCGCCTCCTGATGTCTATCCTGAATCTACCCTCTACCAGCTTGTGACCGTTATTCCTGGTCACTCCTGGGAGTGCTTGGGGGAACAGGGACTCCCCCAGTGCCTGCTGATCCCCCCTGACTAGTTC